TAGATATGCCAGCCACCACAACACAATCAACACCGCACCACTGCTGTCGTGGACATCAGCAGTCTACCACTCTGTATACGACTAGCCCTCTTCGTACACTGAATAGTGGATCTAGTATACCACTTCAACAACCACCACAGCACCGGCCAGAGACATTCTCACCTCCAGGCCCTCAAAAYGACAACTCCTTTTCAGCCCTTTATCGAGTCTTCAATCAGATCAGCTGTAGGATGAAGAAACCTACTGTGAAGCTGGCGGCGAACCCAAGAAGAAGACAGCAGCAAGAAAAAAACGAACACCAGACCTTAATGCTCTGATACCATGTGAATAAACCCTAGTTGTTTCTAGGTCAAAGTAGAGAAGAAGAAAGAAGAAAGAAGAAAGAAGAAAGAAAAGAGAAGGAAAAAGAAGAAGGAGAGGAGAAAAGTATTCGGCCAGACTAGAAGAGAGGATGTACAAAAAGTCCCTCTCCTAGCCGACCCACTTGACTTTTATTCATGAAAACTTGAGTTACAAGAAAGACAATTTTGTCCCTCATAGAAGATGGGACGCATAACTTAAGCTCAGATACAATAGACATTTCACTTTCAATAAGATACACCAGAATGACCAAAATACCCCTGACTCGAGCATTCTAACAGTAGTAAACCAATAATAACATGTATGTATTTTGCCTTCCTGGTCAAGGACAGGAAAATTTTGCATTCAGAAAAGGAAATCGAGTTAACTACACCTAAGAAAAGAGAGATAAAAGTAGTGAATGAAAAATTAATAGTAGTTTCATCCACATATATCAGTGGATTCTCTGTTAATCTAATAAAGTCTGTAAAATGAGAACTTCCATTAGCATGATCAATTACTTCATATGTAATGCAAACATACTGCAGCCAAATGATAACAAAATATATTCCAACAAAACAATATAACTTATGACATGGTATAAATCCTGCCTGTTGCTTGACAACGCTAAGCTTATTGCTGGCATAACGAGGCGATAGCACACAAATGACTGATGAATGCTTGAAAAATTTCTTGGTTTCCTCATCATGAGTTTGCATCACACCAGCCTGCACCCAAAATCATGCTGCCTTAAGACTAAGAATATGTAGTCTCACCCATATTTAACAAAAAATATGGTTACAATTATCTTACAAAATTATATCCAGATAATGATGGCAACACATTGCAGAAGAGCACATAAGGGCAACATCCAGATTCCAGAGAACATTATAAGCATTTGCTTTATTAAGCAAATAGAGAGACATCAGCAAGAAACAAGTAAAAGTTTTCAAAATAGATAAATAACATAATATTTGTATACCCAGTGCCAATCATGAGTAAACATAAGTTCAGACACAACAATATTATTGAGATATTAAGATCAACACCAGGGCCAGAGCTCAAAAGTTTCTCCTGAGAGGCCCATAGAACTTATAATAAAAACAAATTAGAAAATCCAATTAGAAAATAGCATCAGCTGTCTCACCCCAGCACACCCTTTTTACATTTGAGCCCAAAACAGTTGCTGTCTATTGGCCCCCTGTCTAGCCAAAGCATCCTCCACACTGTTTGCAGACCTTTGTTCTCACCTTATTTGAAGCCGCATGTCTTTTGATACCATCTGAACTGTCTTAATTTATTTCTTAAGTTCTATATCACTCTCTTTTCCTTCATTAACCAGCTTATTACCTCATTTGGTTCACCTTAAATCATCAACCATTCAACTCCCATTTCCTTGGCTTTCTGCACCCAAATACTTCTGCCAAAATTTGTCTTTGTTGAATCTCCTTCTCCAATTGGACCTGAGTACATCAAAATTATAGTTCCCTTCTCATCCCTTTTTACTCCAATTCCAGAAAGCCCAGGATTGCCCATACTACTTCCATCAAAATGCAGCTTTGACCACCTGCTTTCCAGAGTCATCCAATCCTTTTTTTCCTTTTGGTTTTTTAGATGGCAATCCTCCAATTTATAATAAACCATTCTTTTTTTATCAGTAACTCAGAAAAAGGTTTTATTAAGATTAAGAGAAAGCAGGACAAGATATTGTGGAAGATAAAGTAGACACCAAGTGTCTAAAACCACCAAAATATTACAGCTGAGCTCAAAACATGGTCCCACTCCGAACCCCTTGCTTAGGTAGATCATCTGCCAGGCTGTTGGCAGATCTTCTAACCCAATTAACTTGAATAAATATGTCCCTAGAGAGCCATTTAAACCACCTAAGAACATTCCTTAGATGCCAAGATACTCCTCCCTTCTTTAGCCAGTACACAACTATTTTGGAATTGCCTTCAATAATTAATCTTTCAAGGCCCAATTCTTTGGTTTTCTCAACTCCAAAAATAGCTGCCAAGAATTCTGCAATTGCCACATCACTATTGGACCTGAGAAGAAAGCACGTATATTTCCTTCCTTGTCCCTAATTACTCCTCCAATTCGAAAGGGGTCAGGATTGCCCACACAACTCCCATCAAAGTTCAGTTTCAACAAGCTGCTTGATGGAGGTGACCAGCCCACTGTTGCTATCTGTCTTCTAGAAGAGGAGACAGCTATAGCCCCCCAAGACCTGAAAAAAAATCATCAACCTGAAAGTCAGAAAACAGATCCAAGGTTTTGACCTGATGAGCCATCCTTAGAGTTATGATCTCAATCAAGGCTTCCTCATTCCACTCCTTTTCCCCAAATATAATTGAATTTCTTTCCTCTGGAACTGTCCAAACCACTGCTGCCTTGGTACATCTCCACATTAGCCTGACCCTTCTATTTGTACAACTGCAATTAGAAGGCTAAACAAACCTTCCAAGCTGACAGGAGCCAGGAGGGAGCCAACTACAACCAAAAAGTGAAACAAACCAATCCCAGAAAAAACCAACAAAGGGATAGGAGATTAAGAGATGAAATGCAGTCTCGCCATTTAACTTACATAAGCAGCACCAATTAGGGGATGACACCAGTTTGGCCTCTTCCTTTGGAGCTTATCGCAAGTGTTAACGCAACCGTGATACACAGAAAGCATGGACTCTAGGAGGAATGGGAGAACACCAGATTTCCTTGACAGGGAAAGAAGGAGAATGGGAAGGTAAGGAGGCTACAAGGGAATTAAACAAAGGTTTACAAGTGAAGAACCCGGCATGATTAAGAGTCCACACCCCCATCCCCAAGAACTAAAGACTTCAGCAAGGTAAGCAAAGCAGACACTCTGGGGATTTCAGATTCTCTAAGGTTCCTAGTGAAGCCCAAGTTCTAGTTCAACCCAAGAGGGGAAAGAGGGGGACAAATAAACTCTGATACTGGTCTACCTTTGAGATTGGAAAGAGTGTCAAGGGAGGAAAAATTATCCATCAAAGGGAACACCCCAAGCCAAATATTTTCCCAAAACCTAATTTTCTGACCCGAGACCAAGTCATACCTGATGTGGTCGAGGAAAACAGGAAGAGAAGCGTGGGTGGCTTTCCAATCGGGGTGAGCAAAAAAACCGAAAAACCGGTTAACCGAACCGGTCAGTTCGGTTTCGGTTCGATGTTTCTAAAAAATCGAAGGTACCGGTTCGGTTTCAGTTAACCAATATAGAAAACCGGCCGTTAACTGAACCGACCGGTATACATATATTTCTATATTATATATATATATATATATATATATTTATGTACACTATATTATATATTTTATATTTTTTATATATTATAAATTAATAAATATGCATTATATATAAATATATATTTATAATATATTATTTATGATTTATTATTTAAAATATAATATTTTATATATATATTTATAATTTTTATTATATATTTATAATATTTATTGTAAAAATTAAAAAACTGAAAAACTGACGAACCGAACCGGTCAATCGGTTAACAAACTGGCTTCAGTTCGGTTCCGGTTACCGGTTTTCCAAAAACCAGTAGTACCGGTTCGGTTCCAAAATATGCCCCACGGTTCGATTAACCAAATCGTGAGCACCCCTACTTTCCAAGGAGTAACCATAATAGCTCTATGAAGACAACCAACATCTCAGCCATTATTTGACAGCCCACACACACTTGCCACCACTTTGTGCCAAAGTCTTTCACTTTCTTTCAGAAATCTCCATAGCTATTTACTCAATAGGGCCAAATTTTTTATTCTCACATTTCCAATGCCCATCCCCCCTTCTGCCTTCAACTTCGTCACCTTCTCCCAACTAAGCAAATGATCTTTCTTCCCTTCCCCAGGTTCCCACAAAAGTCTCTCATAATCTTTTCAATTTTTTTCACCACAACTTGGGGCATCCTAAAAACTAACATATGATAGATGGGAAGGTTAGCTAAGGGTAGATTTTATTAAGATTATTCTCCCACCCAGAGAAATATAATTTCATTTCCACCTAGATAGTCGCTTTTCTCAAATTTTTTTTTTTTGATAAATGAGTAAAATTTTATTAAACCAACAAATAAGAGTTACAAGCAACCCAGAAAAAGGCACGAGAGGCGACCTTTCCCTTAAGATTGGTCACAGAATTATAAGTTCAAATAAAAATTACAAGGTAGCCCAAAATAAAGAAGCCTGAGAAACCCCCTGTTTTGCAAGTGAGTCAGCCATCGCTTCTCAAACCTTTTCACCACTAGGTTCAAAAAACCGGGCAATTTGGGGTTGTCACCAAGAGGTAATCCAAAGTATAGGCAAATTGTGGATCAGATTTTAATTGCTAATGAGTGTGTTGAGGCCCAAAAGAGATTAAGAAAGAAGGGAATTGTGGTTATGTTGGACTTGGAGAAAACCTATGATCTAGTTGGCTAGGAGTTTTTAATTAGCATCATGAAGAATTGTGGCTTTGGGGAGTAGTGGTGTAAATGGGTTATAGGAAGTTTGCAATCAAGTCATTACTCAAAACTTGTCAATGGTTTGGGCTGTTCAGTGGTTGATTTTTTTGAAGGTACTCAAGGTCTTAGACAAGGCAACCCTGACCCATTATCGCCTTTCCTTTTTACCTTGGTAGTTGATGTTCTGAGCTAATTGATCTCTAGAGCCAATAGCTTACAGCTAATTAAAGGTTGGTCAGTTGGGAGGAATTCTAGTCACTCATTTGCAATTTTCTAATGCTATCCTAGTTTTCTATGATGTGGACTGTAGAGATTGGGTGGAAATTTTGAAGTTGGTAGTGAACCTTTTTGAGAGATCTCCAAATTTGAAGATTAATTTATAATTTTTTTAACTTATAATAAACCATTCAAGCATTTTAAAATTGTAAATGCAATATGGTAATTGTTAGACAGTGTATGCCCTTAGCTCCAATCAGCATGATGTACATTATGACATTTATTTTAATGAATAAAGTACATATTTGGTTCATATTATTATGGTGTGTTTCAGTGTAATACCCGTGTTAGTTTAGAATCTTCACAACCGTTGGATGGACCTGGGGAGATTTATCCTGCAAAGGCTGACACTGATGCACCACCAAGTTGGTTGGGGTAGTTTGTCTCAGCTGCCAGGGTGAGACCTGAGGTACATGCAGTATGGGTTTTCTTGAAACCCTGAACCGGACCAAAATTCCAGTATTGCCCTGGACCTTGGAGATAGATGGGCAAAACTAGAATGTTACACCTGACCCCTAAACTCGATTATGATACTGCACTAGGTGTCGGATTGGGCTATCTTTGATATGCCAATCAGTGAAATCCTTAGAGGGGGTCAAAA